CAAACAGACCGTAGGAGTTTTACATTTGCCTTAGGAAAGTCTGAACACACCTGCCAGACGCAGAAGGAGGTGCGGTGTCATCCTGGCCCACACTGAGGCACGTCCTCATGGAGAGCGCGGGGCTGCCCAAGGCTGCTGCCAGTGTTGAGGGATTTCAAACATACGCCTTTGCATGTGGCCAGGAAGACGAGATCCTGGCTTACTCACCTCCCCCATGCCTACCACTGGGAAAAATAATGTTCACTGACATTGTTCTTAATCTGTGCTCTTCAAACAACGCCACCGGTTCAGTCTAACATCTGCAAAACACCTGCAATGGCTTCACAGATAGGCCCACCTGAAGCCTGCAGAGAAGGGCTCTTGTCTGACTTGCTGCCCCTGACGCTAGTCCTCAAGAGCTGGGCCCCCATGTTTCCAACACTGGGTCTCCAGGGCCTGGGGAATGCAGGTGCTTGACTAAATATTTTGACAGGTAAGAAGAGGTTTTGGTCCATGGCTGAGAAGAGAGCTTAATGAAGAAATGTTTTAAAAAATAGGCCTTTTTTGAAGAGCAGTTTTAGATTCACAGCAAAATTGAGGGGATGGTTGAGGGATTTCACATATAACCTTTGACTTCTGCACATACACAGCTTCCCCATTATCCACATCCCCACCAGAGGGTATACTTGTTACAGTCAATGAACACACTGTTAATACCCAGAGCCCACCGCCTACATCAGCATCAGTCTGGCAGTGCACATCCTAGGGGTTCAGACAGATGTGATGACGTGTGTTCCCCCATCACTGTCACACAGAGCAGGCTCACTGCCCCGACAACCTCTGGGCCCCCCTGGGCCCCTGCCGACTCCTGACTTACTGTCCCCATAGTTGGGCCTTTTCCAGGAAGTCACAGAGCTGGCGTCACACAGCATGTGGCCCCTTCACCCTGGCTGCTGTCACTCAGTGGTGTGCATTTAAGGCTCCCCCACGTCCTTCACGGCCTGACAGCCCATTTCTTTTTAGTGCTGACTAATAATATTCCATTGCCTGAGAAGACCATTATTTTCACCTCGCAGAAATGAAAAGCACTTTCTAGATTCATGCAATGTAGGCTGAACGTGAGAGCTGGAGACGCCAGAGAACTGGTGGCACATTCTGGAATTCACTGTCCCTGCAGAGACACAGAAAATGACTTTTTAAAAATGGCAATGTACCAGGAGCCTGATCCGTAGATCCCCCTAATAAAAGTCATTCCCTTTGGTCCTGTAACAGAAAATGCATAGAATGCAGGGTCCTATGAATGGGCACCTGAGCTTCGGTGAATAAGCTGTTTGCTCCATATTTCATGAATGCTGACCCCAAAGGGCACCAGCTGTTGTGTTCCTTTAATGGGAAGCATTGAACACGTGATCCTCCCAATAAACTCGGAAGCACAGGACTTGAACAAGGGCAGGACTTGACCTTGCTGGGAAAATGCTGGTTTTGCCCTCGTGGTATGGTGCTGAGCGTGTGCTACGGCCCACACGGGGTGTTTGTGTGTATGACTGAAAGAACGGATTTAAGTGAAGCCAAGCAAGTTTACACCGAACCAGGTGAGAGCTGGAGCATCAGCAGGAGGCCCCAGGGCTGCGGGCCCGGCCGCTGGAGGGGCAACAGCGCCCCCTGCCGAGCCCACGCGGCCCTGCGTGCGGGGACCAGGGGAACAGCGGGCGGCCAGCCCCCGGGGATGGCGGTGGGTCTGTCCCGCCGGGGCTGGGGATACGTGCTTGCAGGAGCATAGCTTTTGAAGTAAGACCTGAGCAGCAGACGCCTGTCCAGAGCAGCGCGCACAGCATGTCTTCAGGGCCCGTCACCAGGTGGAGCGCAGCGCGGCTCCCCGTACATCGTTTTCTTTGCATCTTGAAGTTACGTTTGAACAGCATCATGAATTAGCCGAGAGAAGGCAACGCGCCACTTATTTAAAATCCAAGCCAAAACTAAGCCAGAGTAAGTTTCCTCTGACAGTTTTTGAAGATAAATCTCAAAATCCTGAAAGTTTTTACGACCTTACAAAATTCAACTGGGACCCGGGTCCACCTCACTCCATTACTCAGATTAGTCACATTGCTTCCAGGCTGCTGGGGAAAAAAATATCCTGACCTCCAAATTCTTGAAACATTTGAGAGTGGGAAGCAGGGTCTGGGTATGAATGTAGAGCTTTCTTTTTGTCACCCACTTTGCAAGTACACACATGACCAACAGCTAGAATCTGGCCTTTTCCCTTTGCTGTTCCTGGAAGTGCTAGAGATAAGGCGGGCACCTAATGCTTTCAGAATTCCTATTTCTGTTGGTCACTCAGAAGGGCCATTTTTCCACCCCATGAGCCCACAAGGCCCAAGAGGGGTCTCTGTCCCCCCTGCCCCTTTACTCACGGATGAGGTTTTTGCCTCTCATGCCATAGAAGGTCACAAGACCATGGCAGGATATCCCCCAGACAATTTTATGGCTTTGGGGGCAATTGCTGTAAAACATTTCAGTACAAGCAAGCTTAAACACCCATCAGGATCCGTTGTGCATTTGCTTTAGGGTGTAGGAGCTCACCAGACAGGGCGCCTCTGACCTCACAGGGTGACTCTCAGACCAGACCCTCTCTAGAGGGCAGCTGGGGCATCAGCCCGAGGTGTGGGTCAGTACAAGCACAAGGGTCCTGCCACCTGGGTGAGAGAGTTCATGATCATGGCCTTGGCGGGCATGCGTGAGAATTCTGCGACCCAGCCAGGCCAGCTAATAGCATCCAGATTTAGACAAGAGGACCGCGAGGCCCAGAAAGATGAAGTGATTGGCAGAGTTAACCAGAAAAAAAGCCAGGACAGAGCCCTCTTATCTCCCCATCACGCTCCTTCCCTCAAAGGCACAGGACGCCCAAAGCTTATTTCTTCTGTGGTTGACCAAACTTTGGGTATAAGGGGGAAAAAAAAAGCAAATCTCTCTTCTATCGGGTGCTCCATCTTTTAAAGTAAATTAAAGACAAAGTGCTGCCTTTAAATCCACGATTTTTGGGGTCTGAGTGACATCCTTAATTGACCGTGGTTCGTTGGTTTGTATTCTCTTAGATTCAGTTAAAGGACACGCTAAGAACAAAAATCCATATTGTTTATTCAGCTCCCAACCTCATCTCCCCGCCCTCCCTCTTTCCATCCCCTGACCCCCAGCTTGATAATTTGTAAACGAATCAGAGAAAAAGCCACTGGGCTGAAAACCTGTCCATGGTTTACTCCAGCTGGAAATAATTGTGTTCCACCAAGATTCAGACCCCATTTATAATGGAAACCCTGATGGGCAATGTTGTAATTATAGTCTTGCCATAATGAATGTATCTGTGCGGTCAAAGTCATGGATTTTTCCATGGTATTTTTCCATGGGAGATTTCCTCCCTGAGAGATGTTAACTCAAAATCTGGATTATAGCTGTGACTTTGGAGCCGGATCTCTCCTGGCATTGGTAGGGCTTGAGGTTAGTGATCAGACTGACTTTTGTAGTCACGATTAGCAAGGGGAGCATTAGTCTAATTGATGAGGATGGGGGATAAGGGTTTGGAGGTAGAGGACCATATTCCAGGAAGCTTGTATTGTCTCCCAGATTTTTAACCAGGGAGTGTTTTCTCTCCCCTCTGACTCAGCGGATACAGTCAAGTAGAAAAGGCCAGTACAGTCAACAGGTGTTAGGGTGACCAGCTGTCTCAGCTGTCCTGGGACTATCAGCTTTTAGCCCTCAAACCTTCCATCCTAAGAATCCCTCTGTGCCCCAGCCCCCAGCCCTGGGGAAACCACGACAGCTGGTCATCCTAACTAGATGGGAAATTAGATAAAATTTTGGAGGACATAAAACGAACCACTTATTTTAAAGACTGCCACCAGACTGAGGTTTAAAGTAAAATCCTTTGTTGATGCTTAAAAAACTCAAGTGCAGTCAGCATTTATCTTGCGAACTGACTCAGGAAGCAGCTTAAAGGAATGTAGAAACCTCACGCCTGGAATACAGTATGAAAAGCCAAGCCAACCACTGCTCCCCAAACAATGTCACAGGCCAACCTAGTCCCTGGCCTGAGCAGAACGAGGCATCCCACGGCTCTGAGGCCCTCCTGGGAGGCTGCTGCCAAGTCCCACTTCTCACCCTCCCTGCACGCCTGTCACTGCTCTGTGGAGGAAGGGAATGAATTGGAGGCTGTTTTGGGGGGCCAGGGTTCCCCACTTGGGCCCCACACTGAGCTTCAAGGGGCCCTGTTTTCTGACTGTCTTGAAGGTCACCCTGGCTGCCTTTGCCAAGTGCTGTGAAAGTCACTGGGGGCAAAAGGAAGGAATATAGAGGCGGAAGGCAGAAGGGCTAGCGCGGGGGCCAGAGCCACAGGTCAAGGGGAGCCACCTGACCTCTGTGTAGGGTGCCAAGGGGAAATGGATCTCAAACCTCTGTTTTAACCATAGAGAAACAGATACCCCGGGACATGAATCCTAAACTTATCTCTGGAATTACAAACACTAAGGCTTTAGGAAATGGACAGAATCGACTTAGGGATTTCTGAACTCACAGCTTAAAGTAGATGCTTGAACTTTCTGCTGCTGTGAATCCTACAGCTATGAAGTCCAGGGTCATGAGACTGAGGAAGAAGACATGAGGAAAGTGAGGCTGTCACCCTGCTGTGGTAGACCTTTGTTCCACCCTGGCCCACGGAAGGCAGGCGTGGCCACATGACCTGTTGAGGCCACAGAAAGTGGGCAAGAGTGGCTGATGCCTGCATTTCTACCTGCTCCTCTGGGAATTTCTGGCCCGTGTGTGCACCGCCCCTCCACCCTGGGGTGTAACCTTGACCTGAGGCTGGTGGAAGAGCCCCTTAGGTGACCCACAGACCCATCAGTGGAAAAATAAATACTGGCCATTTATGCCCATGAGGTTGTTATGCTTTTCTCTGCACTTAAAGCTGACAAATACACCTGCTTTTAAAGAGGAAACACCACCTAATCATATTGTAACTGATTCTCTCTCAGTTGGGTCCCTGCACCGTGGGCGTGTGCAGTCAGCAGTGGACAGCAAGGTCCTGACACAGCCCCACTGGCTGCCCAGCCTGCAGGAAAGAGGACGGACAGCGTGTGGAAAGAAACATGCCACTTTCCTGCCAAAGAGATAACCTCACAGTGACGTTGGCATTTTCAGGTATGTTGAGGATTATAAGCATCCATTTCTCACCTGCTTCCACAAAGGGCCTGCAATACCTGACCATTATTTTCTAAAATAATGCAGCTAGAATAGTTTAAAAAGATCAGTAACCACCGAGTGTTGGGAGAAGCTAAGTGTAAAAAGATCCCTGAATGAAACAGAATCCTGGGTTTTACCTTTGAGTTTCCTAGAAGCCACAGCAAGAAAAATAAAACCGGATCATATAGTTTGTGATTTCGACTGGACACCTTTTCTCCCTGAGTGCTGTTAGGGAGCCTTCTGTGCACATGTGGGGTTTGTGGTGTCCGCAGGGGATCGTAGAAGTGATCTGATCTGGCACCTCGCTTTTCGGCTGCATGGAGAGGTACTGAGCAGGGTGCTCCTGCTGTGTGTGTCGGGAAGGGGACTCTCCTACCGCCAGTGACCCGCCTGTCTTGCTGGCCTGGGGTCTTAGCCCCCTGGCTGGGGTCAGAGGAAAGAGCTCACCTCGGCCTTCGGCCTCCCCTGCAGCCACAGCCCCTGTGGGGGGCTCACACCTGGGGGTGGATGTGAGGCAATGCTGCTCTGTGGGCCTCCAGCTCACTGCCAGCAACGTCGCCTGCGTGCCCACAAAGGGCCTGCAATACCTGACTATTATTTTCTAAAATAATGCAGCTAGAATAGTTTAAAAAGATCAGTAAACACTGAGTGTTGGGAGAAGCTAAGTGTAACAAGAAGAAGATTTAGGGCCCTGCGGGCACCCACTGCTGCTCACACTCCAAGTCCCCCTGGGCTCTGCCAGGGAAGCTGCCCCTGGGGCCGTGGCCTGGGATGGGGCTGATGTTGGCCAGGGGAGCTGTGGCAGGCTCAGGCTCCTCCCAGAGTGGCCCATGTGTGGAGTCACTGGCCCACCTTCTTGCTGTGAGGACAAGGCCTCGTCAGCGGTGGCACTGAAGCCTGGTGTGGGGCTCTGTCCTTCCCCCACCATTGGCCGCCTGCCCTCTGCCCGGCCGTGTACCCCAGCAGCAGCCCGGCTTCCCCCTTCAGGCTGCCCTCCCGTGTAGCTGCCGGCTTCCGGGCAGGGGCTTCGAAGGGATTGTTGCTGGCAAAAGACACATAACGTGAGGTTTCCCGTAGGTCAGCCTCTGCATTGGAGACATCTTGAAACTCAGAGCCTTTCTCTGAGGTCAGGGGCTCATGGGGCGCCGGTGGGGAGCCTCGCTGGGAAGGCAGGGGCGTGCTCTGCTGGTTGCAGTGCTGGCTCAGCCCCCTCGCAGGGGCACAAAAGCAGCCAGGCTTGTCTTCTGCAAAGGCTGCATCAATCTTAGACACATTTCCTGTTTTTAGGCCAAGTTTCACCAACAACCAGTGGTGCTGATGGAGGAAAGAGTCCTCGCCAGCAATCTGGCTTTCCAGCCCGGCCTCTGGGGGGCCCCATTGCAGGCTGGGGGGCTTCCCCAGACTTGTTAGCTCATAACCTTCCTCTGAGCACATGCTTGGGTCCCCCGGCACCTCCTCAGCTGCAGCTGTGGCCCCGGGAGAGGACTCTTCCTTGGCTTTGTCACGCTGGCCAGGGCCACAGAACGGCCTTCAGAAGCCCTGCCAGATGTCTGTGGGTTTAGGGTGTAGCAGGCTGCACTAAATCACCAGGGAGACACTGCCCAAAAAAGGAGAGAATAAAGAGCACAAGGTCATGTTCTTTGAGGACCTGCATTCTCCATGGTTTGCAGAATCCCAGGTTCTGGAGTTCCAAGTAGAGTAATGTAATTTGGGGTCTGAGACAAGGATCCCGTTAAAACATCAGAACTGACTATTTGGGGGAGTTTAAGTGGGCTCCAGCTTCCACAAGCTGTAAATGTTTCTAACCTTAAAAACAAAAGTTTAAATCCTACTAATTCTATGACTTCTTCCTTGAGGGTGGCTCCAAATGAGCGCTCTGGCTGTGTGTGTGTGTGTGTGTGTGTGTACGCACACATGCATGTGGGAGATGTCTGGTACAAATCTTAATTTTACTTTCAAATAACTGGATCAGACACGCAGAATTCGACCATCCACACACAGGCTGATGGGTTCCAAAGCTGGGGGGGGGAGGGGAGGAATCGTCTCAAAAGCAGGACTGCAGCCGGGGTCAGGCTTACCCACCAACACCGCACACGAAGGGATTTCCACGGGCAGCGGCACCGCTTCCTTTGTGCACAAACATCTTAAGGACATTGTTGTCAGTTTAATTTATTTTGATCCGAAGTGTTGACTACGACAATAATGTCTTTAACAGAGGGCTCCAGGGACCTCCCACGTTATTTCCAGCTTCCTGTTGTACTGGACCAAGTGCCTGGTTTCAGACGCTTGCTATCAACAGCACAAAACCCAAACAGGCGCAGGGGAAGCATAGGGGGGTCAGGAAGTCGCAGCCTGAAGGGCTGGCGGGACCCTCACACACGACCCCCACCCCCATGTGTCTTTGGGGGATGACAAGGGGTGGGGTGACAGAGCCGGCCTCAGTCCAGGGATGGAAACAGGATTCGCACTGATGAGCGTCGGCTCCTCAGCACGTGGACGTGTCTATGCTGTTCTGTATTCTCACCACTGTGGGCAAGGTGTCGGGATTCGGGCATCCTTTACAGGGAGCCACCCAAGGCCACAAAGGGGAACTAGGCCCCCATCAGGCAAGTCCTGAGTACGTGTGCAGGGCCATGGTGTTGGCACGGCAGGATCCTCGGCTGCAGCCCCAGGCGGGTGCAGTAGGTACTCGGGAGTGCCGGTCAGGGAGGCCCAGTCATGAGCCAGAGCTGCGCCTTGAGGGCCTGTGGACTGCCTCCAATCCCCACGTCATCTCCCACCGAGGCTGCCTCCAGGGCCACTTGGAGGCAGGGGTCCGGGCCGCTCCCGGAGGAGGGGAGCAGGGCCAGCGGCCTGGCTGTACCTGACGCAGACATTCTGGCTGCTTACAGCGCGGGGCGTGGGGTCCGGAAGGGCCCTGCCCACAGGTGAAGGCAGCCCTGCCCCGCCTGCCCCCCGAGCTCCGTTCAGTTCCTCACCACCACGTGGGGACGGCTTCGCCACCCACCGCGCGGGAAGCTCCATTCCTTGGGCTCAGCCCGGGCGACTTCCTGCCTTTGGAGTTAGTTCATGGCAAAGAAGCAAGTTGCAGGAGGGAGCAACTCAGGAGGCCCCACTGGGTCTTGCGATCAGAAATCCACCCTGCCCGCTGGTCCACGATGCCCCCTGCAGAAAGTCAGAGGCCAGCGGCGGAAGGATGGGGTCCTCCAGGCGCACGATCTATGAGGGCGAAAGGGGAGTGAGCACCCGGGTCAGGCCCCCGGCCCCGGGGACGCCCCTGCCCGGGATCTGCAGCAGCCGCCTCGGGTGCTGGAGGCTCTCTCCTGGCTGGTGGCCCTCCCAGAGGCAGGCTCGGGGAACAGGGGTGCTTCTCTGTCAGAGGGCTCCCTGCAGCTCACTGAGCGTCTGCGCCATCCTGAGTACCCAGGGGTGAGGGCACAGCGCGCGTGCCTCCCTTCGGCGAGGCGGGCTGAGAGGAGCTTTCACTTCCTGCTTGATGCCTTTCGGTCTTGTGTGCCTGCGTGCACGTCCTACTCTTATGACACAGTACAGTATCTGCATAGCTCACAGTGCCACCAAGTTCCAGTGAGCAAGGGTCACAGACTTCCACAACTTCACATTTTCCCCCACGTATCTGCCTCTTTAAAGGTAAATTGGGCCTGTGGCCACCAGGTCACATCACCGGGAAGCGTGTTTGCTGGCAGAACGTGATGCCATCCTGCAAACCGGTGGCCGCTCTCACGGAAGGTTCGTGGCTTATATACTTTGGTTTCCAATTTTTAAATATAAAAATAAATTTTAAAAAATAACTGAACAAACTGTCCATACTCCAAAGATGCTATATTTTAAATACTTTGTATGAGACACTTTAAAAAACTAAATCGTTATACAGTCATGCTAAAAGCCTTTGAAAGCTTTGCCATGGTCTTCCATTGGCATCATTTTAACTCTAGGAAAGTCAAACAAGGAGAGATTTTAAAACATCATTAGGAGCTGCTCATGCATCCCGGGCATAGCCGCTCGCCCCATGCCCTGCGCTCTGGGTGGCGGTGTTTCAAAGGTTCAGCAGGCAGAGTTCAATAGGAATGGCATTGCCCGGCAGCCTGGTCTGGAGAACATGGGCTGTCATCTCCCTGCTATTTACATCAACCCCATCTCATCAGTTGTCTGGTCCTGTGGAAGCCAGTTCTTAAGTTAGTCTCAAATGCTTGGCCTTTGTCCTGTCCTCCGTACTGACACTTGCCTAGTGCTGGCTGGGTCCCGCCGCTTCTTCTGTCTGCATCTGTCCCGCACGCTGTTGCTGGGTGACCCCAACACCCACAGCTCACAGCCTGTCCTCCGTACCGCACCTGAAACAGCCCACAGCCACACACCCACCCAGACATCTGCTCGGTATGGACAGTAAGTTAGGGTTAGCCGAAGCCGTCCTCACCACTTGCCGTACAGAATGCGGCCATCCTGGTTCTGGAAGGGTTATCCCAGAAGCTGAGGTAGCAGACGATGCACACGGCCCCCGTGAGCAGGTCAAACCGCCGCCAGCGGCAGGTGCTGTCCACGATGTCACTCTGCTGTGCCCGAGCCAGAATGTCATCACCAGCCACTGGGCGCCTGGAGAGAGGCAGGCCGCGGAGGTCAGGGTCCACACGGGGTAGTGGCAGGGGGGCAGGATGGAAACCAGGGCTCAAACCTCCTTCTGACCGCTGCCGACTTGGCATGCAAGAAGCAAGGCAAAATCCAGAGAGACTCGAGGGCACAGAAAACCAACACGCTTTACCTTGGCACACACTGTCTCACTCAGTCCCTACAAAGGGGAGCTGATCTGACTTGGGGGTGGAAAAACATCTAGCTTCCACAACACTTCCCAAATATTAGTACTTATGCCGTTTAGTTCCAGAAAGCGTTTAAGGAGGCAGTCATGAAACTGAGACCAGCTAATTTTCAGCCGCTGTTTAAGAGCTGAGAACCTTCACATTAAAAAGAAAGGCGTTGCAGGCAGCTGAGCCATCTTTTCATTCCTACACTGCTGGAATAACATACTGGAGTTTGAGCTGATTTCTTTTTTTTTAATAAGTAAAAAAAGCTAGTATCTCTTTGCAGAAGTGCAATATTTTTTCAAAATGTTTCCTTTCTAACTATAAATGTATTTGTGGTTGCTCCAGGCTCAATCTAAATATTTATCAATATTTAAATTGAGAAATAATAACAGTAAGGATTCTATGACAACAAGTTATTACAGTAAAAATCATCTTAGAACACAGTGTTCTGCAGTGTGTTCCCGGATGCCCAGAAGGGCCCCTCTGCTTGGCAGGGACACAGGCCCCCTCCAGGGCACCAGGCAGACTCCGTCGTCATGGTTCATGCCCAGGTGCGCCCGGGCAGGGGGAGAGGAGCAGTCTGGGTTCAGTGGGGATGTCTGTTTTAAACAGAGAACACGGCCAACATTCAGCACTGGAATGAAGTGGGGGCCTTCGGAGGCTGTGGGCAGTGCCATTGTAGGGGCGTTGTGTTCGTGTACGGGGTCAGGGGAGGCAGGACCCTGTGCATCCCTCCTGGCTCCGCAGAAAGGATTTCAGCTCACGATGCAGGACTGTCTCCTGAGCAGCTGCACGGCTAGCCAAGCCGTGCCTGGAGCTGGCCGGGCCGACAGTGCGTCGCCAAGGAGAGCCACCAGGCATAGCCCTCCCTGTACGCTCACAGGCTGGCGTCAGGCCTCCTGCTCTCGGGCCTGGACTGCCCACAACTTCTCTGACCCAGCGCTGGGCCAGTTTTAAGAGGCTGGCAGCTCCCACGCCCTTCCTCCTGGCTTCTCAGCTGCCACACGCTCAGTCCAGGCTACTTTCCCAGAGAAAGGCCACGGTGGGGAGCCTCCTTGGGAATGCAGGACCCTGCTATCTGGCTGCACATGCATGAGGCCCCCCAAGAACCCACCGGAGCCCAGTCAGTCCCCAAGAACTGGGGCTGATGGTTATAAATGGTTGTTTTAAGGCACTCAGTTCTGGGGTGGCAATTCAGCTTACCTCCAACGACAAAACCCAGACACCTTACACTCTGAGGAACAGACCCAGACTGAGGACATGAGCCCCCAACATGGCCATCCCCCCAGGGATGCTGGTGGAAGAGGGCAGCCCACGGCATGCGGAGGTGACTAGGCTTCAAGGGGCCCATGGCCAGACACAGCACACCAGGGCCCAGGACCGCGCCAACCAGGAGCAGAGGGCGCTAAGCCCTGGAAGGGGAGCAGACGGCAGGGTCTGGGCACGTCTGACCTCTCTGTCAGCCTGGCTTGGAGGGGGCCTTGCCTCGGCAGGCACCCGGTGCAACAAGCCGGGGGCAAACCCGCACAGCTATGTACATGGAAGGTATACGGGAGTGGCACGGTGCAGGCTCCTCCCCCGTCTGGGCTCGGCCCATAGGAAGCAGGTGTGGGGGCTCCCAGATGTACTTCAGGGGAGCCACACAAAAGCACTCTAGTCAAGGAAGTAAAACCAGAACGTCAGGCTGTGCCAGGCCCTTTGATAAAGACGGAGGGGAGGCCAGTGCCGTCACGAGCCTCAGGTATTTAATGTAAGCATGTACAAATGTGGACACAGAGAAGAGAGGGGAGGGGAGAGAAGCAGGGAGTGACCGAGAGAGAATGGGAGAGAGACGGACAGGCAGAGGGGCCCACGCCCTGGACAGCTGGACATGTGTGTGCGGCCTGGATCGTTCTGTGTCCACACAGCTCTTGGGTGCCTCCCGTGGCCCTGAGCCGGTCTAGTGACTGAGGATACAGGGGAAACACACACACTGATCTTACTACGAGGCAGCATGCGGTCCCTTCCCAAGGCTTTGTCGAGGTGATCTGACTACCACAATTTCTACCTTATGGACTGACCCCCGTGAGGGAGGCCACACCCCTCAGCCCCCTTGAACTTACCAGTTCAAACAAAAGCCAACTTACCATCGTCCTGCACTAGTAAGCTCAGGCAGCCCTAATTCTTCCAAGCTGGGGAGGTCTTAGGCTGGGAGGGTTTCTGTCTGCCTGGAGAAGCCGGGCAGTCCGTGCTGGGCGGTGGAAGCTTCTCATCTGGTGCCATATCTGTGCAGTCTGACGCAAGGAACACATACGTCTGAAGCAGCAGGTGGGGCCCGGTCTGGAACAGGGCTTCCAAGAGCCGGAGGGCTGACCGGTCAGCCTCCAGCAGCAGCCAGCCCTGGTGGGGGGGGCCTCCCAGCCCTGTGCCAGGACAGTCGGCGTGGTGTCCCAGTGCCTGAGGAAGAGAAGGCAGTGTGATGCCCAGCCAGCCCACAGTAGCCTGAACAGGGTGACCCCCTTTCCTGGCTTATCATTCAGGGGCACGTGGCATTCCGGAAAATAACCTGCCACACCTACACACTAGTCTGTGAGCTCCGACTGCACAACTAAGATGTCAGCTCTAATCCAAATGCTGCATGAGGCGGTCCTGCCCAGTGGGCCCACAGCCTGGCCCAGGAAGGTTTGCAGGGCACTCTGAGCCCCACAAGACTTGGAGCCAGCCTGGAACACACCCGCACCCAGAACCTCTGGGATGGGACTAAATGCGCTCGTTGCAGTGTCGCACGTTGCCATTGATGTAGCCCATGAGGAGAGGAGAAGCTCATCTTTGTCTTCAGGATGGAGGACTTTTTGTGCCTCTGGACCTGGGTCAGGCAAAGAACAGAACGAGGACACAGAGGGAGTGGGCTGGGGATGGGGAAGGTGTGGCAGGAGACCAGGTGGCTGGCTGGAGAAGGGAAGGTAGGGCTGATGCGGCCCAGGAGGTGGATCAGGGCGCCAACTTTCAGGTTATGGAGTTTGTATTTTGCTATGGAAACGATTCTTGCAGACACAGGTGGGCTGCCTTTGGGGTGCGGGATAAATGTGCATGTGCGTATGTGTTAGGACTGAGTGTCTGTGTCTGTCCACAATTCCTGTGTGGAAGCCCTACTCCCGTGTGATGCGATGAGGAGGTGCGTAGGTTTAGATGAAGTCGGGAGGGTGGGGCCCCATGATGGGTTTGAATCCTTGTAAGAAGAGGCAGGAGCACTGTTCGCATGGACCGAGCCAAGGCCGTGTGGGCACACAGCAACAGGGGGCCATCGCCAAAAACCAACCCTGCCCGCTCCTTGATCTGGGAGTTCCAGTCCCCAGAAATGCGAGGAAATAAATGCCTGTGGTTTAAGCCACCCAGTCTGTGGTGCTTGCAGTCAGTCTGGCCCGGGTAACCAGCAGGACCATGCGTGTGTGTATGTTCATGTGTGCATGTGTGTGCGGTGTGAGTGTGTGTGTGCATGTGCTATGGGCGTGCCGGAGAGAGGAAAATCAGCAGGAAGGTTAAGGCAATACTTCAAGCCGTAGCTGCTGCAGGGCCGAGTGAGAACTGGGGACGGTGGGCAAGCAGCAGACCGGGGAGGTCCCGAGAAAGGCTTTGCACAGAAGAAATGAACACGCACAGAAGATGTTCCCTCTGCAGGATGTAGCGGGAGCTCTTCCCCCAGGGCTGAGTGGGCTTGCTCTGAAGGTCCTTAAGGAACGTGTCAACTCAAGAGAAAGAAATGAGGCAATGATCTTGTTTCATCCCGTTTCCAGGAAACCTGTATGATGCTCCATCTTCCAAGCGCTGTCTGGAAGGTGACATGGGTCATCATCCTTTACCACTGGGACAGTGTAGCATGGATGAAACAAAGCCACTTGCCAGGCAATCTCAGGCTGTAGACTTTGGGTTTTCACAGCAGATTTCTCCCTTGCCCACCAACATGCCCTTGGTTACTTGCAAGCAGGAACAAGTATGGCTGCCAGGCCTGCTTGCAGCACACAGAGCCCACCCAGTCCATTTGGAATTGTGCACATGTCCAAGTTAATAAAATCTGGAAGTCATTTAAATCCACCTACTCCTGACTCAGCGTTGGATGCCCCTTTAAAGTCCCCTGAAAAGCCCCCCAGGAGGGCCCACCCAAGGACTTGGGCTGTGCAGACAAGCTTCACTGATGTCTGGCCAACACTTCAACGGCTGGAGCAGAAGGGGGTCCTCTTTGAAATGTCTTTCTTCATGGTACCGAAGGCCCAGAAAAGATGCTTAAGAAAAACAATCTTCTTTTTCCATGAACTGGAGTCCTGGAGTGAGCTGGTTTCTCACTGAGTCTTTGATGCCATGATCTCTGGCACAAACATAATGTTAAGAAAAATATGAAGCCCAAACGTGTAACCCTAAGGGCAGCCTGTCGCTTGCCTTTCAGCCTCAAACTATTTGTTCTTGTTCCACACTGGCCTCTGATCCTACCTCCCTGAGGCTGTCATCCCCTCAATGTGAAATTTCGCTGGGCTTTTGCACCTGCTGGGCACTGCAGACAAACGCAAATGTAGTGAAAGATGTTCTCTAGAGTCCCTGGTGAGCTGGGAAAGGAAAGCGCACCCACGGGCATGTGAGAAGTTCAAGTAGGAAGGAGGGTGCGTCCAAGTGAGGGGCGTATGCGTCCTGGGACAGAGGATAATGTGGTCTGGGAGCGCCAGGCTTCTTCCCACCATAACGCTTTCTGGAGATGTTAAAACTTGAGATAGTGAATAGCTCAAGGTTTTCAGCTATGGCTGTATGTTTTGGTCTTTTTTTTTTTCAAAGTTTTTTTTATTGTGGCAAAATACTTATATAGCAACTCAACCATTTTAAGTCTACAATTCAGAGGTATTAATCTAAATTTAATATTAACAATAGATTATTAATAATTTGTGATAATTCATAGTTGCATGACCATCACCACCACCCATCTCAAGAACTCCTGCCATTTTGCTAAGCTGAAACCCTACCCATTAAATGCTCGTTCCTGTTCCCCTCCCCACAGCCCCCGGCACACATCCCTGGATTTCTGTCTCTGGTTTTGGTTACTGATGTAATTGGAATCAGGAAGTGTTTGTCTTTTTGTGACTGGTTTATTTTACTTAGCATAATGTATGTCCTCAAGATTCATCCCTGTCATAGTATATTGCAGAATTCCCTTCTGTTTTAAGCCAAATAATATTCCACTGGGTGCATGCACCACATTTTATCTTTCGTCTGTGGATGGACGCTTGGGCTACTTCCACCTTTTGACTCTTGTGAATGATGCTGCTAGGAACACGGCGTATGATATCTGTTCATGTTCCTGCTTGCGAGTCTTTTGGGTATTTGCCCAGGTTTGGATGCTGGGTCACATGGCAATTCTGTTTAATTGTCCGAGGAACATCCATACCATCTTCCACAGGGGCTGCAACAATTTACATTCCCACCAACAGTGTACAAGGATTCCAATGTCTCCACCTCCAACATGCCAGGCTTGTTTTCTGTTTTCTTGGTTTTTGCGATGACAGCTATCCTAATGGTGTGCGGTGGTATCCCACCTTGTGGTTTTGATTTGCACTTCCCGGGTAAATCGTCACATCGAGCATCTTTCATATTACTGAATATTATTACTCTCCAACAATCATGGCATATTATTGGTATGGTTGTATTTTGCATACTTCTAAATATCATATTTCTACCCATCTATGCTGAGTTTGCCCTACTTATCCTTAAAGTTCACCTCAACTTTCCTTTAAAGAACTTTCAGCTTCCACTACAGAAACATTTCTAAAACAAGACATGTGATAAGGATGAGATGAGTTAGATATGCTTCTGTCATCTCATACTGAGTGCAGATGGCTTTACAGGCTTACAAAAATTAACAAGATGCTGGTAACACATAGCACTAGAATGGAAATATAGTAACCAAATAGGGAAAAGCAACTGGCTTTGTTTAAATAAGAGGTCACTAATATCAGGGTCTCTTGAATGAGTCACACTTAACAGTAACCTAGTGTGAATTATTTAGAATTAAAAAGAAGACATCATCTATGTTTAAATTCTTACATTTTTCATAAGCTACCTCAACAGGTTTGCATGTCACTCGGTTGTTAGTAGATTCTTCTGGATTATAGTATGGTCACTTAAAAGAAATTTCTTAAATGCTATTCAGTATTCTTCAAAACACATTGTTTTGGCTCCTCCCAGAGGTGTTTTTCCTGAACTGCAATTTGCCTGCGGCTTCTCTGCTGGCCCCGAGGTGAAGCTCTTGCAAAATCCAGTGAGCCTTGGTTTCTACATACCAGGTCACCCAGCGTTTTCTCTGTGAGACCCCAATGTGCTGGTTTCACGATGACGAATAGATTGGCTGCTTTCTATTTTAACTTTCAAAGCTTTTTGCTAAGGCAGTGGATTTCTATTTGTTTGTCTGATTCTTTATCTCAGAAGCACTACAAACCACGTAGCTATGTAAGCTTGCACTGGCTGTTATAAAACTTAGAGCCAAATATCTGGCTCCCCTTGAACAATCATACATTTTTTGCTTCATCTTGTTTTCTAATATTTTGTCCCTTTTCCTGATTTTTCTCCTTTTTGTTTTGTCCCTTTAAATTTATGTATTTTTAAAGTCACCTTATTTTTTAAAATAAGAGAGATGACTAATTGTTTCTCCTAGTTTCTGATTTTCATGTCTCTCCTCACTTACCCATTTTAGTTTTTTACTTAATACCAGAAAATCATGGCATCATTTAAGAAACTTTTGAGGGAGCTTGGGGAAGAGAAGAGTGTGGAGCGGCCCCGTGGACACCAGCAGCATGAGTGTGGACACATCATGGGCCTGGCACCACCCCCATCTCTGAAGAAGGCCCCGGGTCGGCCTGGCCTGAGGATCCCCACAGAGCCCCGGAAGAAAGATTTATCTGGCAGTTATTCAGGAAGCTTCTCTTAAGTGACTGGCATTGACCTGACTCTGCTTTGGAGCTTCAGACGTTTGCTGGAGGACCCGGCTGAAAGGTTCTCTGTCCTTGAGGCCACACACTTGCACGTTAGTGGGTTTCCTACTAGGCTGGGCTGAGGGCAGAGGTGAAAATATGTAGTCTTGTGTGTGGTGCCCAGTAGAGGCTCCAGTCTGTGTGAGTGCTGGAGAGTCATGTGTGCTCTCCTTCCTCCAGGAAGAGTCTGCTCATCTCAGAGGAGCTGCACTGCTTGAACGCAAAGGTCCAGCTTTGGGCAAAATTGCTGTGGCGGCAAAACATGCTTTTGGTGCCTTTAGAGATACAAGGTCGCAGCTCCTCGGGCCCAGAGAGATTTGGGGAGTTGCCTGATGTCTGTCAGAAGCACCCTCTCCCTCCTCCTTGAGATTCCACTCTGGCTGTAAAGGGACTCATTTTCTCCTTAGGCTCAGCCCCGAAGCCAGAAAACTCACTTCTGCTCCTCCAGAGAAAGCCTCGGGAATAGGAGAAGGCATAAGCCACCGAGATCTGAACCTTGGCAAGGATGCCTCCAACACCCTTCCAATCCTCAGCGTTCACAATTTAACGAACACTTCAGCTGCATGACTTCACGGATTGGATGCCCCAAACTCTCCATCTTTTTTTAATCCCTGGCAAATTGTATGGGATTATGAGGCAGCTCAAACGCTGACATTTGCCATTCATTTAAACTCACTGCCACATCTCGCCTGACCCTCCAGGTGTCCACATACACCCAGTGAAAATGGAGCCTGACCCGCACAGGGGGCACCCCAGGTAAGCCTGCAGGCTCGAGGCCCAGCCAGGCAGCCTGTTTTTTATGGAAAAAAACTGGCCCTGGCTCCCAAATGGCTTCTATCTGCATTAAAGTTTTAATGCACGTGTCACAGGCCCAGTCCACTGCCTCGTCTGCAGTTAAATCTACACCAACCTTCTTTGACTAAGGTTGTAAGCAAGTCACCTTCTATGGCTCTAAAAGCTCATCCAAATAATTGAAAGAGTGGAAGACAAGATTTGGTTGAAGACAAGAAAAAGCTTTTGAAGGGTCACTGCTGCTTCCGGAAGGAGCCCCTCGGAGCACCTCTGAGCCCCCTCCCAACCCTGAGCTTTCATGACCCTGAGGAACACACACATGCATTAGCAGCGCAGCTTCAGAGGTGAAAGGCCACATACCCTTACCGCCTCCACACGCCGAGCTGCAGGAGGTGAAGCATGACCCACAAACAAAGGCCTGGATGCCCGTCTGCTCGGGACCACACATAGCTCAGGCCTTGGACCAGAAGCCAGGCAGCAGCCCAGAAAGGGCCAGCTACCCTGAGAGAAGCCGCCCTGTGGTGACGTAGTGCACCACGGAGCCAGGGCCTGGGGGATGAAGAGGAAAGACCAGAGAGTTAGTGGGGGGCTGGGGAAGCAGCCAGCACAGCCTCCCTACCACCAGCAAGGCTCTGCCAGACCCAAACCTGAGCTGGAGCCGCAGAGCCAGCGGGCAGTCCAGAGGGGCAGGAGGTGTCGGGGCTCTCCAGGGTCCCCAAAAGACCAGATACGCAATCGCACGGGACAGTATGCACAAAATACCTGGATTCTAGTGTGTGCTCAAGAACGCTAACCTCCTCTCTGGGGATTTATTTGAGGGTGGCAGGTGGAGAAGCATAGTGGAAACAGACTCATCTAGGTTGGGGTCTATCTGCACGCCCCAGTCAGTGACAGTGGGGGTGGCGGTTGTATCTGTCCGGCTCCGGTAGGTGCATGAATTCAGTAATTGCTTTTATGACTAGTGCTTGGGTTTTCTAGTATTTTAAGTTTACAATGGATTTGTGGGCACAGAAAACTGAGCGGTAGTGGAAACAGCACTGCCCTGGTGTGCAGTGACGGCTCTGCGAGTCGGGAAGAGGGGCTGGGGCTTGGGCAGCCATTCGCTGACCCCCAGGCGCTGTCCCACGCTCTGACCAGCTGGGGTTTGAGCCATAACCTGCAACCCAGTGTCCCCAGCACACACACGAGGCACTTTACGGCCCACGCAGAGGACTGTGGAGGCCCAGGCCATTTCCTGCTGGAAGGGAAGGAGAGGACGAGGTTTGCAGGGCCACGAGGGTGGGTACTGACCCCCGTCTGGTCTTGGCTCAGCATGTCCGGGGCGCTGGACCGAGTTTCGGGGGCGTTTAGCTCTCCAGCTGCCGCTGGGCCCAGGTCAGCCCCGTGCGCCCCTGAGCCGGGCAGCAGCGCTCCCAGGGGCACAGCTCAGAGCCAGGGGCCCCCAGAGCGAGCGGCGTGGAGGGCACGGCGCCCTGGGGGACAGAGCTGGGGCCTCCTTCAGGCCCCCACTCCGGCCTGCCGAGGACCAGTGGGCGGAGCCTCCCCTCCGGCACCCAAAGGGTTAGAAGTTCAAAGCCGAGTGGCGCCCAACAGCACAGCCCTCTTGCGTGGCGGGGTCCCCGGGCAGGTCGGGTCCGGCCCTCCTCTGAAGCCCGAGGAGGCGCAGGCAGTGCCCGCCAGGCCGCGCGACGCCGAGCCCCAGCACCCCGAGCAGCCTTCCCCGCCTCCCAGGCCCCGCGCCGCCGGCTGGTGGGAGGGCAGTGCGCGCCCCGGGGTCTGCGGGGGGGGCATCGGAGGGAGGGGTGTCGGGGCGCGTCGGCGGCCAGCGGCGGGCGGAGGCCCAGGACCCACCCGCGCCCCTCCCTGCGCGCCCCTCGGGGGCGGGGAGGCTTCCGGCCGCGTCGTGCCCGGGGTGCCAGGGGGGCCGACTGAGTCTTCTGGTTTCGGAGGGAAAGCACGGATCGGACCGGCCTCTGGACGGGGGCGGAAGCGGGTTCCTGCTGTTCCCCAGCCGGTAACGCGCCCTGGAAAGGAGCTGGGCTGGTGGCGCTGACTGCGGGTCGGCGGGAGGTGCCTGGGCCGGTCACCCCTCTAAGGCCGCGAAAGGCGGCCAGGATTCCAGGCGTTACCTGGTCCCTAAGGACTCCTGCCGGCCTCTTGACTGGTCTCTTCCTCTGCATCTCCCCCAAATCCACCCTAATCTCTCCTACAAAAGTTTTCTCCAGGTGAGGAAATAAGATTCCACTGTGCAAGAAGTTCTATATAGCTTAATGTTGTTATAAAATGGCTAGTGCTCAAATCAATCTATACATTCAATGCAATCTCATAAAACATTCCAACAGGATTTTTATGAAACGTAATAAATGCATTCCAAAATGTTACACCAAGAGGGAAGGTCTACACATTAGCCAGTTTTTATCAGCAAGGTGGATAAAGAAGGATCTTTGCCCTTCCAAATATTAAGACACACCAGGGAAAAGTCATATTTATAAAACGTTCTGGTTTGGGCACACAACAGATATGAAACAGAATGGGGTGCTCAGAGGCAGACCTGGGATTATGTGCCTTAATATATGACCTGTCCTAGCGCCACGTGTCAGTGGAGAAAAGACAGACTGTTGGTGGGTGTGTGAGAAACCGAGCTCCTTAGACAGAAACGGGAAAGCTACACGTCTCCCTCCCGAGGGCAGGCAGGCTGTTACGGCACCATGCCTGGCCTGGTGGCCTCTGGGAGACCAAACCCTCGGAGACAAAGCTGCATTTTATATTTTCATTTCGATACCATCCATACATCACTGTAACCGTATTTCAGCCCACACAGACTTACTCATTTATTCGTATATTTGACAAGTGGTCATCAAGAGCTGCTGAATGCCTGGCACTGTGTGGTGGACAGTTTATATTCCAGTAGCTGTTCACACTGAAGCTGAACGCTGGTACGTGATTTCAGCATTCACTTTGGCAGTGCTTTGAGGCTAAGAAATCCCACAAAAGGATTTCACTGGGTTGGCAGGTGTGACTCCTGCTGATATCTTGATGCCAGAATGGCGTAAGCAGCCAGCACACTGAAAACCAGGTTGACTGCAGCCCTGAATCATGAATCTGCTGCAAAGAGGGATTCATCCAATTACCAATTTGTTGCATAGAGGAATTTCCAAAGCTTTCTGTTGCACCATGTCTTCACCATATTAGTTTTGCTGCTATGATTTCCCTCCAATGTCTGTTTTGTATCTCATTCAGGCGTTCTCAAATGCCCAGTTTTCCGTGTCAGTATGTGAGGCTGCCCTTAAGTGACATTCATGACCTCTGTTTTTGCAGGGTGTGCCTGCCTCCACTCCCCATTTGTTCCCACGTGTATTCCTGTGCTTATATCTGACCTGCCTCCCTGTCCCCATGGTCCTACTTGTGTCCTCCTTTGCATCTCTGATGGGGAAAGGACTTTGTTGAATTGTTTGAGACAATTTAAGGTTGTACAGGAACAGATCATTAGGAAAAATGTATTCAGCAAGTTGGTTTAGGAAAATTAGATAATGGAAAATTGTTGATTCAGAGCTTTGGCTGTGAGCTATTGAGAAAATCCTCGAGCCAGGAAGATGCTGTTGGCAGGTGGAGCCCGTGGTACCCATGGCACCTGTGTTTGCCGCTAGATGGCGCCCGAGAAGGTGCTGTTCTGATCCCACTACCCGCTGGGATTAGGCAGAAACGACTCAGGACCTTTGGTAAAAGCACGGGGCACAGTGTCTCAGTGTTGTTGACTAGTGACATGCAGGTGCTCGCTCAGAACTGCAGTGAGTTAACGGGCAGAATTTGAGGCCTAGGGCTTCCTCCTTTAAAAATGTGATGCAAAAAAAATGTCCAAGGGAGATGGTTCCATTATCAGTACTCGTGCGGAAAGGTCCTGATGGGGGGAGCAATGGACAGACACTAAAGATGCACAGCCACTGAAGGTGGTTTCTGAGCAGTGGGAGCCCAGACTCACCTTTTCCTCACAGTGTACTTGGCTCCTGCTTCTTTTCTCTGTCAGTTGATAGCAGGTAACACATCAGTGTGAGGAAGAAAGGGGCTCTGTGGGCCCCCGTTCCCTCCCAGCCCTCACATATCCACACTCAGCCCTAGCCTGTGGGGGTGGGGGGCAGGAGAGCCTCGAGTAGGAGGAGACCTTGAAGTTTAGAAATGACAAGCCTACATCCTAAAAACCAGAATCTTGGACAGCTCAGAGTTACCAAAATGTTTCGTATTTGGACTCAGAACATTAGCAGCTTCTGGTTTGGGACCCAGTGAGTTGAGATGTTTCAGTCTAACGGGTGGCAACCGTTTACTGAATGAATTCTCTTCCATTCTCATTTAATGACCATGTTGACTGTAAATTTAGGGTAGGAAAAGTACAGGCCTGAGAGTTTTGAGGGACTTGTGCAAGGGGGCACCACCAGGGGTGGTGGGAGCGGGCCTAAGGTGGGTCTCCTTTGCGTTCGCCGCTGCAGATGGTCTTGGAGGCCTCTTCCGGTCTGAGGGGTGACGGTTCACTCCAGCTCTGTGATCCTCTGAGTCTCCAGCCACATGGAACTGTGTCTTCTTGCACATGTGTTCTAATTCACCCCTGAGTCGGGCTCCGGGTCAGGCACGAAGACTTTCAACCCTTAGAAGCACAACAACCAGCTTCTGGGGACATGCAGACAAGGTGCCGGTGGCTGTGTGCAGAGGGCGCCCGTCCCTCCCTGGCTGCCCTCCAGGAACGCCGCAGAGGGCAGGAAAGTGAGCTGTCGCCCAAGGGGCTCCTGGCGCCAGGGGTCGGTGTGGATCTGATACCTCCTTGGTGCCTGTCATCCCGGGGGGTGAATCTGTTCAGCTGGGAAACCTCAGGTGTAGGGAGAAAGGGATGAAAAACTCCTTCCCCTTTTCCTTTGGCATTGAATACCCGCGACCTGTGTGGTGGAGAAAGGGTACCCCAGCCTGGGCCTCCTGGGGCTCCCTGAGGCCTCCCTGCAGGGGGCCTCCTTGGTTAGGAGGAATGTGGGGAGCATGAGGAAGCCTTACACCAGTGCTGCCCATCCACAGGAGTGGCCTCACCAAGGTCATCCTGCCCTTGTCGGCCATGAAGCCCCACAGTGGGCCTGCTCCCCAGTGAGCCACTGCCCGCCCTCCCTGGGGGGCCTTGGTGATAATGTCAGTCAATCACGCCAGGCTGTCGCCTCCTGGCAGGGCTGGGAGACTCTTTTAACCCCTGCCTTGCCGAGTCAGGGCTGGCTGGGAGTGGAATATGGGAGTGGAATTCTAGGAGGTCAGAATCCACACTTTAGAGAGAAGCCTCCACCGTACCCCAAAAGGCAACATGCAGGACAGTGCACAGGAACATCAACCAGTGCCCGGGCCTCCCAGATGGTAGAGCCCTAGTGGACCAGCCAGCCAGCCAGCATGGCCATTAGGAGGCATCTCCTGAGTCCCGTCTCACAGGTGCCAATACCTGCTATTCTTGACACCAAGTGTTTTATATTCTTTCCACCTTTGAGATGGTCAGTCGGGTGTGGCCGCAAGAGGAGACAGAGGCTCAGGAAGACAAGGTTGATTACCCTCACGGGTGCTGGGATGGGAGGCGTGCCATGCAGGGCCATGTGGAGACACCAGGAACGTCAGGAGACAGAAGACAAGAGTAGGGGGAAGATTTGAGCCACTGCTTTTATTAGAGTTTCTGAGGATAAGGCAGGGCAGGGTGGACAACTTAGGATTTGCTAGTGTAAATAATTTTGAAGAGCTTTGGGCTAGAAGGTTGGTCTCTAGTAGTCTAGCCTCCACCGTGGGATGACTAAAATAGAGGAATATTACCTCCTGGGAGAGAGGGGAGTATGGCTGTGGGCACATTGGTTTATGATCACAGGCATGCTCCTGGCTGGACCCTTTGCTCTTTCTAAGAATTGGCTAGCTGTGGGAGGGGCAGTCTTGCCCAGCAAGGAAGTATTTTGTCTTACTGTTTTTCAAAACATCATAATATACAGAAAATAAAATATATACAACACAACACTTAAATTAGTGGACCGTGGGTACAGCAGATTGCCCTTTATGATGTGGTGGGCCTCATCTAATCAGTTGAAGGTCTGACTGACTTCTTTCAAGAAACAAGGAATTCTGCCAGGAGGTATTGGCCTTGAACTGGAACTCTTTTCTGTGACTCCAGTCTGTTAGCTGTCCCCATCAGATTTTGGACTCCACAAATCTCCATAATCACATGAGCCACTT